AAGCTTGATGATAGTACAACAAGAAAGCTGCCACGCTGTTGTTCACAGTGGACCACCACGGTATGTCGCCATAGCAGAGGATGTGCAGAAAGTAGCACAAAATCTGACTGCAGCACTGCTAGTTGTCGCGACCGATGTTCGGCCCATCCTCCCACGCTGGCGGAGATACGGAGTTTTAAAACTGAGTTTATTCTCGTAACGTTGGGTAACATTTCATCTCAACTTGATGCTTGTATAAAGCAAAGAACTATACTACAGCTAGGATCACAGCATGTCCATGTTACAAAAAGACACAGTGCTTTTTACTAGGCTCGGGCGAATAGTGAATTTTAGGTTTGAAACAATTTGGAATATCACACGTTGTAAAGCAAAAATGGCATATTTGTAATGACCTAACCAATCTGCCCACTATACATATGTATTTATTCAAAACAAGGCCTGTGCAAATGCCACTTTTGTGGTTCAAAGTAAGTGGAAACAACTTTGAATAGTAGCAGAATTTGACTTTTGATAGAATGCAAGTGATAACCTGTAATATATGTTACATTTTAATAGTTACTACCCTTAGAACATATAAGGCAGTAATGTCAAAAACTATGAATCAATGTGAGGGTGACAGTTTCATTTAACGTTGAAGTGAGGCTTCGGGGCAGTGTGGATTTCCAATCACTAGATGTTTTTTTGGCTTAGCATTCCTCCACTGCAGTGAAGCCATTTTTATGAAGGTTACATGCGGACTAATATACATCCATTTGTTCATTTCGAATACTTCAAAATTTTCAGCAATACTGTGATATTCGTTCGAATATTCAAGGCATTCAAATATTCCCACAAGTCAACTTTTCAATCATCTGAGTGCATGTGGCCAGAAATTAAATACGGGTAATGAAAACAAAATCTCACTTGACTAAATGAACACTCTTTGAGCTTTCAGGACTCTCAGTGATTAAGCTGAAAACTACAATTGCTGCATCTCTAATGAACCACACTCGACATTGCTGCCTTAACTTTTGCATTGTGCAACTTACATCTTTATGCCACATTATTAAAGTGATTCAGATCACACAAAAAAAACTGTCGTTGTACCACCAGATTCTGCTTCTGCAGTTAGGTGAGTATTGAAAACCCGTGTTCACATGCTTTTAGTGCAGATTTGCTTGCTAACAGCACAGAACACTGAACTTGTCAAAAAGAGATCTGCCTGTCCTTCTAACAATAGGGCCCCGTATAAAGATGGAGGGATCCCATCTCCTTATATAAATACTGAAAAGTGTTCCTACTTTTGTACCCTCAACACTGTATTATATACAGAAGGAAATGCACTAACTTCACTCAACAATATTTTTATGTATATGTTTCTAAAGTACCGATCAAAGTCAATTCGGCACTGGCTGCAAAATACAGCAATAATAAATGCTGCATGGTCAAGCACTCAATGCTGAGGAATGTATACAGCACACACACCTGATCCCAGCCTTTTTACATGTACTCTGGCTATCCAGTTAATAAAACAGGAAATCAAAACCACCAGTCAATGGTACATCATTTCAACAGGACACAACACAAAAATCCAAATGAGCAACAACTAAAGATTATACTGTTCAGCACTTACCCAGGACTCATTCTCTTTCTTTTCTCAAAATGGCACACACAAACCATTCATGCTTCCGTCCGTAAACTCGCAGTTTCACCCGCAAGGACAACTACATTAGCCTGTTACATTCAGTAGTGGCATTGAAAAGAAAGACACATCAAGGAAGAATACTTCCATAACAAATTCCATAGAAGGAACAGTATAACAATAAAAATGATTAAACAGAAACAACAACTGATATCTGAAAAGAAGGCCAAACACTGTAACAGCACTTACAACTGGACAATAAACCTTCTGAGAAGGGCAAAAAAAGAAAGTCAACAAACTTGCAGAATAGACAATTTCCATGTGTGCAAGATCATTCTGATGGTCATATCAAGCAATAATATACAAACAATTTCGATCAGATTGATATTCACAAGGAAAAAATTCATGTTGTAGTGGGAGTTGGCTTCACCGCACACAAGTGATTTTGCCACTGTCACCCGAGGCCATTTCAGAGGCGCTCATAGTCGAGGAACTGAACCCAAATAAACACTAAAATTTGGTTTGTTTCTTCCTGCACAACAGAAGTGTGTGCTTGTACTAAGAAGAATACTATTCTGAAATAGATGGCGAACAGTAAGATGACAAGTTTTGCTCTGAACAAGGCTCTTCACCAGCTCCTCCTGATATCTCACATGATGTAAAAACAAGCAGAAGAAAAAAAATGCACCCTCCAGAAAAAGTATAGAGGATCACTAAAGCTCAAAAACGTTTTCATGCCTGTGCGAAAAAACACACAAGCATTGGATGATCTGTCGTGTTATCTGCCCTCCGAACAAAACATGCACATGATCAACTTGGCTCGTCTTTTGTCCCTAATGAACTGATTAGAAAACCATGGTAGCTACAAATTCAAAACTAACTTTTTTGTTGTCAGTGAGAAACACTGACCCTGATAACAATCTTGTCAGCCACTTCTCAGCCAAGCTCAACAGCTCCCATAAAAAGAAAAACCATAGCATCAAAGAGCAAAAAAATAAAAAAACAAAACCAGTAAACTAAACATTGTTACCAAAACGAGCTCATCTGCTGGCAGTTGTGTGAAGATGCAGCAAGACGTGTCTTTGTATGGCACGCAAAAATCAAATTTTCAGTTTGCTTTTTCAGTTTTTTTTTATAGTTTTCACTTATCATTTATAGCCTGTCATAACTTTTACCAATCAAAGCTAATACATCCAAACTCGGAAGAGAACTTGTCTGTGATATATTTCCTTTGTGTGTGTTTGGTCTGTGCATATTTGCATGCAGTGGCTTTCAAAGCAAAAGATAGCGTACAGCAAAGGACACTGCAATTATTGCACGAAGCATACGCTCAACTTCTTTGGGTTACAGTACTTGAACAAGTGACAAAGTGCCGCATGATGTGCACTGTTGCGACACTAGACGTGCAGAAGTAGTGTTTCATCCAACCAACTTGTTTCATTTAACTGCTCTGTGAAGGTGAAAAACAAACAAAAAAAAGGTTTTGCTTTCCACAAGTTGCATCTCTGCCTGCACAACCAATCACAGTGGTCCCTGAAGTGCTTTTAAGCAATTGCAGGGAGAGCATGAACTCAAGATGAATGCTGAAAATGCTTCTTGGCCGACACTTTATGAAAGGCAGGCTTTTACTTTTTTCCCTGAAGTCGGTGCAGCTTGGTGACATTTCTGTTCCGTTGATGTAATAAAGTGGCCAATTTTTAAAAGTGCTTTTTTAATTTTTTTGAAAAAATATATACAAGGTATGCTGAAAAGCTTGTGAACTTCCACATTTAAACTGTGTGCAGAAGGGTTATAACAAAAAATTTTATTTCTCTAAGGCACACACTAGCTGAGTTATTTCAGTGGCATTTTTCAGTGATGAGTGGTGGCCATCTTTCAATGCTGCCCTAAAGGTTTCCCTAGCTCGTGGAAAAAGCACATCACTAATAAGTCATGGTCTTCATTAATGTATTATGCTTTTGAATTAAACATGTCTTTGCTATATTAACACATATTTAGGTTGCATAAAAAAACACAAACGAATGAAATTACACAGGACTTTTGTCCATGTTTTTTTTTTTACGCAGCCCATATATACGTTCCAAGACTGCACGAACTAGCCCAAAGAAAGCTTTACACTATTGACAGTCTGCAATTTTTCAATGAAAAGCCTACTTCAGTTGAACACCTTATAATGCAGAGTGAGAGTTATGCACAGAATTCTGCTGCTTCTAAAGGCCTCTCGCCTCTATAACACACACAAAAAAAGAGCAGTAGGCGATTCGCTGTCGGAAGTATGCAGGCTTAATGCTTGTATGAAAGGGGCCCATTTGCTACTTATTAGGGCCCGGAACCACCTTTCCAAGTAATCATCGAATGAACCCAATGTTACTGGCTCACGAATGTATTGCCAAACAGATTTCTCGAATCCATCAAGAATGAGACTGAAGTAGCAGGGATTGGTCGAAACCTTTCAGAACTTTCTCTCTTCGCTCGTCCCAAGGAATGCACTCAAGCCTACACAGAGAACCATCTCGATATATGCACGATGACCTTGAGCGTTGTTTTTTCTGTTGTGGTTCCAGTGCACGACTGTGGCTCACTGTGCAATGTCGGCAAACTACAAAGCTGGCCCATGGTGGCTCCTACCGTCTGGTTCAAAGAGCGCTCCTCTTGGTGTATGCTCGTCATAGGTCGGCGAACTCACTCATAGTCACTCACTCAGACTCACTCAGATTGAGCCATGTGTTTGAGTGAGTCTGAGTGAGTCCAAAGTGCAGAATATATTTCTTGAGTGAGTTCCACTTTATTTTGCAGACGTAAGGTCCTATCTAGTTATCTTCAGCATTACTATCAGCCTTACCTGGTTCATGTTTATACTCGCGCCTACTCACAGGTGTTCCAAAGCAGTGTCTTTCATACACAGTTTCAATATTTATTAATTAGAGGCGTGAATAACCCATTAGGGTGCCTTGACCTCCCCCCACAAACTCTTCCAGGAAATTTCTTGATGATAATTATCTTGTGCTGTCATCTTTTACAAGAGAAATGACGTTACTGGTTTGGAAACACTCAGAACACTCAATCAAAGATACTGTGTCAAACGGCACCAAGAAGAGCACCGATTATTTGACATACTGATGTTAAACAGCATTGACACCACGGTCGAGGAATCTAATTAGACTCACTCAAATAGAACCGTGAATCTGAGTCTGAGTGAGCCCGTGTGAGTAACGTTTTGGCGAGTTTTACTTTGAGTGAGTCCGTCTGAAAAACATTTTCGTCAGTATGAGTCCAAGTGAGTCTGGCTGAGGAAAACTTTCGTGAGTCTGAGTGAGCCCAAAGCAAAAATATATTTAATGAGCGAGTCTGAGTGAACTCCACAAGTTTTGTTGACCTATGATACCTATGGGAGCAATCTGCTGGATGACGACATACAACAGTGAGGATGGAACCCTGTTTTAATAAGCGAGGAGGCTTCAGAAAGCTGTGACTTCGCACTTCACTTATAAATGCTCCTTGCCAGGCACAACTGCAAGATTTGGCTGAGCTGCTCAAAGCAGCGCTTGCTTTGCACCCGACATGTTTCCCCACCAAGCGGTTCATGACCCCTTTAAGAAATTACTTTTCATAATTTTTTGTGCAGGATTTATACATTGAAAGATAACCATATGCAGCTTCCTGAGATACTTCTGTGATACTTGGGCCTGTGACGTGGTGATTTTTTTAGTGTGTAGCATCATTCGAGGACAGAAGAAAGTGAATTTTAGCTGACTTTAGAAAAATTTATTTTAAATTGCAGGCAGTGTGCTCCACTATAATATTTAGCTCCCATGTTCTCTGGAGCCTCAACTACAGATCGGCATTTTCTGAACATGCTCAAAAAGTGCTGCAGGGCCCTTTCAAGAAGTTTTTTTGCGTTGGCAACCAAGTAGTCCTCCATATCGCCCACTAATATAGGCGCAAGATAGTGGAGATGCATTTTTCAGGTGTAAAGCCTCAAAAAACATACTTTCATTCATTTTCCCCTTAGGTAGCCGGCATATGTCACGCTTTGCAATAGTTTTATAACCGTTTTAACTATAACTTATGACTTGCATCTTACATAGCTACACCTATCAAAAGTGTTTGACCCGCCGCTGCGGTAGATTCCCTTCCTTTCATTTTCTCAATTTCTCACCGTGGGCAGGCTAAAAGCAGTTCAAGAGCAAAGACAAGAAAAACGAGGCGTCAAAAACTTGCAAAGCTGCAACGAACACATGAAAGTGTGTAAACTCAACAGAAGAGCTGCATCCTAAACAACTCTTCACCATTTCTCACCTGCCACGGCACTAAACATCACATTTCCCTCATAAAACAAGTACTCTCAGTCGATAGCAAGACACACAGCCCGTAGCTTGCGTAAGGCACTGAAAAAACCAGTTAAAAAAGAACAAACTTGTGCAACAAAACTTAAATACAAACAGGGTGTAGCAAAAATATCTGGTACACTCTTTGGCCATTGTTGGAGACCTACAAAAACTCTCTAAGCCTCCGTTGTGGTGAACAAACACACGTGTGTGACAAGAGTCGTCAACCTAGACAGGCAGCAGTGCGATGTGCCTGACTACTGAATATCTTGCAAACCAGATGGTTCGGTAAGTCAAGACCATTTTCCCCATCGGCCGAGGTAGGTCGCATCGTGGGTCAGTTCTGTCGGTGGGGGCGTGCACTTTGAAACCGGACAGCTGCTCTTAGGAAGGCGGCAGTTTCAAGTCTATGAATTCAGCCTTGTGCCTCTTGTACATGTCCAGCCGCTCCAAGGCAAATCTGGAAAAGTGAAGTACACTATTGCATGATCTGGTTACACTCATCTTAAACATGTTAACTCGCACAAAAGAACCTTTAACTTCTAAAAAAAATCGCAAGTGATGAGAACAAAGAGTGGGAGGAAAGTGCGCTCTAACCGTGGTGTTAATAATACAAGATCTCGAGAAAAAGCTAGACCAGAAAAAAAAAAGTACCAATTACGACAGCCCCCGCACAGTGAACCCTTGTGCCAGCCGCATGGACACTACGCAAACACAACTAACATAGCTGGCTTAGGTCAGCTGATTAAAACTGAATTTTATTGTCTAGAAAGTCATGGGAGCTGGTAACCTTCTTGGTTTCGCAACTGGGCGGTGATCTCACAGTCAAAGGTGAAAGGATGTCTGAGTGTGAGATCTGGAGATCTTTCAGTTCGAGGAGATCGGGTTGTGTCACCAGAGGTGTTTTGAAATCAAAAGCAGTGAAAAAACATGATAAATCGATACAAGCCAAGCTTTTAAGATGGAAAAGCAACATTCCTGGTTTTCAATGTACATTTTGTGTTTCCACTACGTTTAGTTGCAAGTGAAATCACCAAGAAGGCCTGAATGACTGTGACTGCTATAAAAAAAATTTTTGTTGTTCATGGCCAGTAAAGCTCGTTCCTATTCTAATAGAATAGGAACGAGTAAAGCTCGTTCCTATTCTAAAGGAACGAGCTTTACCACATTTTGCAAATGAGTGCAGTTATTACAAATGAAGTGTCACACCATGGCAGTTGCGAATACACTTAGGACCTAAAATCATTTGCCTACTGCAGTATTGCCGAGCGCTTTTTAAATTCAAGATTGGCTACCTACATTAATTACAGCGTCGATATTCAACTTGGAAAAAAAAAGTCGTTTCGCTATACAGTTTTCCAGTGCAAATCTCGCCATGAAAATGGGCTTGCACACTGAAGGAGGTTTATTAAAAAATTTCTAATGGTTTGTAGTTTGGGGTGCAGGGATGGACCTGTTATACATAGGAAAATAGGGTATCAATCCAAACGGGACCCTAAACGTCTTCAAATTGTTGGAGGCCCCTCGTTCGAGGCCCCTTGGCCCTCATGCCAGTCTTACTGTTGAGTATCATGTTCAGCATGCTTCTTAGGCTACTCCAGCACCAGACTCCATGCTCAACAGTGTTTATCCTCCCCAGGTTTGTGCAGAGCAACAGGTCTTTCTGTTTCACTGCAGGGGTCGCGTTGATGAAGGGGATTTGCTTTACTTAGGTGTCTGTGCTATCCACAGTTCACAGAGAAGAGAATTGGGACCGAGCTGGCAGGCATGACAAGCAATCAGGTCATGCCATTTGTGCAGTTTCATATCTTTAATAAATAAACAACACTTTGTTTCTATGCCCATAGCTCCCCTGTGTGTGCCTATTCCTTACGAGGACTACTTCCATTTTTTTGTGATTGTTACCGCTAGCCCCAACGAGTCTGATACTACAGCTGATCCCGGATATACTAAACTATTGAGTATATCAAACAGTTGAACAATCCCCTTAAATTTCCCATGCAGAAGTTTGCGACAGCTGCACACGTATATCGAACTCCCACACAGCGGAACATCCGCTATATCGAATTCTATGCCGCGCCAAAGCTCAGAAAAAGCATTTTGTCCAACAAACATCGATCATTTTTCTCCGGCATTCTGACAAGTTCGATTTCTATTCACATGTAGGTGACAAAGAGGCAGTGTTATTTCATCGCGTTGATCTGGTTGGTTGTGCGGCACTTCTGGGTGTACTAGTTTGCTTGATGCGTGATCTGCAAGTATTAATGCACGAACAAAGTATTCTTCAACAAAGACAAGAATGGCACGAAGACAAGAATGCCACGTGACTCAGAGATCCTGTTGTAACATTCGCATTACCTTCCTCGTGTACTCGCGCCCATTGGCATGTAGGCCAAAAAAGCATGGCCTTCGAAACGTGCTACCTTGCGATGTATTTTGGGGTTTTCGGTTTTGGAATGCACCTCTCCGAGGCTAAACTTTTTCTAGCTTTTCGTGCTAAAACAGCGGCTGCCTGCTGCAAAACCACAAGTGACATTGCTATTGCCAACATGTCGATGGTGGGGGCTTACTTCTTTCTTGTTTGTAAGCAGTGTTGTTTCTGCGGCTGGTGGACTACTCACCTTGTTCCTGAGAAATCCTCACTCTGGAGTCGAACTGAAAATTGACCCACTTGTGGCAATAAAACTTATGACAGATGCTTGGAGCGACGTCCCGTAAAGCATCGTGGTAAACTCTTTTGCGCTTTACTGCCAGGTGTTGATTTAGGGTGTGTCATGACCAACAACAAGAGAAGTTAACAAAGCACAAGAAAGAATGCAAAGAGGCAAAGCTGCTGGTGAGGATAAGGTAACAACAGATCTGTTGAAAGATGATGAAGAGAGTGTGTTAGAAAAACTGGCCACTTTGTATACAAAGTGCCTCTTGATGGAAAGAGTATCAAAACCTTGGGAAAATGCCAACATTATCTTAATCCATAAGAAAGGGGATGTCAAGGAGTTGAAAAATTACAGGCCCATCAGCTTACTGTCCGTTCTTTACAAGCTATTTACAAAAGTAATAGCTAATAAAGTTAGGATGACATTAGAGTTCAATCACCCAATGATAGATTAACGATAGACCAACGAGCTACCCAACGATAGACCACATTTTATCTATCAATCAGGTGATAGAGAAATGTGTGGAATGCAACCAACCCCTATACATAGTCTTAAAAGATTACGAGAAATCATTTGACTTGGTTGAGATACAACGGATATATCGAACTTGAAGGGGATCGCGAATTAGTTCGATATATAAAAAATTCGATATAAAAAGTAGAGGTCCCGAGAACTTACCTGTAGCGAATCATCTTACAATAGGTGCATTGAAGAATGACAGCTAATTCCGTATGTATGCCGCAACATAATGATTTATTTGCGTGAAAAAAAAATTGCTAACCTTAGCCTGCTCCTTTATTTTTGAAATGTTGAAGATGCTAGTCTCGATCTTATCACAACTCGCGAAACGTGTCGTCAATGCGCTCGCCATCGTCTTCACCGGTTTCCACAAGTTCCGCCATCTCGAAGCATGCCTTGCGGGAAGCAGTTGACCACTGTGTCCGCCTTTACGTCTCATCATCATCATCAGCCTGACTACGTCCACTACAGGACAAAGGCCTCTCCCATGTTCCACCAGTCAAGTCGGTCGTGTGCTTGCTACTGCCACTTTATACCCGCGAACTTCCTAGTCTCATCTGCCCACCTAACCTTCTGTCTCCCCCTAACCCACTTGCCTTTCTCTAGAAATCCAGTTAGTTACCCTTAATGACCAGTGGCTATCCTGTCTATGTGCTACATGCCCCGCCCATGTCCATTTCCTCTTTTTTATTTCAACTATGATATCCTTAACCCCGGTTTGTTCCCTAATCCCCTCTACTCTCTTCTTGTCTCTTAAGGTTACACCTACCATTTTCCTTTCTATTGCTAGCTGCATCGTCCTCAATTTGAGCTGAACCCTCTTTGTAAGTCTCCTGGTTTTTGCTTTGTAGCTAAGTACTGGCAAGATGCAGCTTAGAAACACCTTCCTTTTGAGGGATAGTGGCGTTCTATCTGTCGTGAGTTGAGAGTGCTTGCGAAATGTGCTCCAGCCCATTCTTATTCTTCTAGTTAGTTCAGTCTCGTGGTTCGTCTCCGCAGTTATTACCTGTCCTAAGTAGACATAAGTCTTTTACAACTTCAAGTTCACTATTACCTATCTCAAAGCACTGTTCATGTCTCGCCAGGCATTAAAGATCTCCGCGGGAGAAAACTTCTCAGAGATTTCCGGCCACTTTTTCGACATCCATTGCTGGATGTCCTCGCTGCTGACAGCTTCGCTTTCTCCAAAAATGGTTTTGCCAACATGTCATAGCGCTGCTTAAATCGGTGAAGCCACCCGTTGTTGTCGGCGAAGTTGTTTCACCAAGTACAGCGGCAAATTATTTGGCCTTGGCAATCAGCATCTGGCCATCCACCGGAATGTTGCTTGTGCTCACTTCTAAAAATTAGGCATACAGTGTCTTTTCTACATTTACCGTTGGCAGAAGCACGCACATGAGAAGCTCCCCGACGTTTGCTGCTCCGCGGGCATTGCCTTGGCATTTGCCTTTTTTTTAGCAAGGTACTCAGAGTGCTCCGTGGTATCCTGAAGTCGTCTGTGACGGTCGAACATTTCTCACCCACCTCAACACGCTGAATAGCCTTCAACTTTGTCGCAAAGTCAAGGCTCTTGTGCTTCTTGATGCTGGCCATAGCTACACGAGAAGTCGACAATTCAACGAATCCGCATCGGCTTTGCACACACCATGCATGTAAAAAAGAAATGCTGCACAATGGGTGGTACGTGGGCGACGCGACAGCTTGAGAGCAACAAAGCGTGAGAGCAACAAAGCGCTCGAGAGGCGATGGTGGTGGTAGTGGTTAGAAGAGAAAAAAGGCACCTAATTTCTGCAGCCCGGTAGGGAGCACGGCACAGTGCCTAAGGTGATGGCTACCTGCGGGGGCAACAGCAAAAGGCGTGAGCTACGGTTGGCTGATCAAACCTCGCAGAACAGCAACAAAAAATAAAAGAGAAGGCAAAAGGAGGAGGACGTCGGCTCCTTCGTTCCTGCTCTCCGAGCCGAAGCGTACGCGGCGAAAGCATGAAAGAGAGGAAGAGAATTGAAAGAAAAAAAAAAACTTTCTGCAATTTGGAGATGCGCAGTCCGAGCCCTCTCGCCCTTGCCTTTTTTTCGAGCGTTTGGGATATTGGCGGAGGCGTGGTGCCGCAAGGGCGGAGGTCGTTGGGTGCCACTGCTAGTGCCAAAGCGCACCTTCCAGCTTGCGCGGCGTTCGATATATCCAAAGGCGGGTAAAAATGCCGTACGATTTAAACGTGCGAATTTTCACACTTTTACAAAGGAATTTCAAGGGAATAACTTGCCAGTTGATTATACTCAAAAAT